GATAGAAATGTCTAAAGTATTCCATGTGGCAAAGTGCTTAGGAAAGCTTTATAGAAGATTCCATGAACCGAAGTGTTGCCACTAAGGACAACAAGAGTCTAACCTCTTACAACTGATTGCTTTTTTTTATGGAAAGGGTAAAAACCAGGGCAAGAATTGAGGTGAGCGTGATGGGGTTCGAACCCACGCCATAGGGGAGAAAATCCCTCATGGAGCTATGACACGAGCTTGCCCACTTGGCCACACGCCCACAGAGTTGAACTACTAAAGAACTATGTATATAAGAGCGTGAACTGATAGTCGTAAAGTCTTTGTAGCGCTAACCAAATCGAGCACGAGGTAATAACAACCGAAGAGCTTCTCCTAAGGACTTCTTCCAGCTCTAACCCATTACAAACCCAGGACCAAAGCACTGGAACATACTAAAAAGGGTTTTCCTCTGTCTACGCAGTACAATCTATTACTCTATCATATATAGTAGAGGATGCGCGAGCACTGAACTTGCCGGTTACACCAATGCCAGTTTTGCTGAAGATCCTGCAACCAGATGCTAATAGGAGCCTACATTTTCACTCTGAATAGCAGACCAATCAGCTGGAGCTTAAAACAACAATAGACTGTTGCTTTATCAACTATAGAAGCAGAGTACATATCGATATGCAAGCTATCAGAGAAGCCATTTAGTTTGGATAACTGCTTATTGAATTAGGTTTTAATGATGGAACTGAATCAATTATAGTTCATGTAAGGAATATGATTCCTATCATGCTTGGTACAGCATATAATATGAGCTGATTGGGTTAGCGTGTACTTAAGCGAGCCTTAGTGCTTGCACTCTGTATATAGGCTCCGTGAGTAAAGCTTCTTGCTTGGTATCGAATCCATTTCGTTCAACCTCTACAACAACCCTATGGGCCAAGCCTTACAGTTCACGCCGACAACGAAAGCGCAATAGCTCTAGGAAAGAATCCCGAGTTTCATAAGCGCAGCAAATACATCGACGTTCAATATCACTTTGTTCAAGAACAAGTGCAAAATGGTCGAATCACAACACCTTACTACCTCCTACTGCCAGAATGATTGCAAACGGTCTAACAAAGGCACTCAGCCTTGAACTACACCATCTCCTAATTGACAGCTACAGACTCGACCCAAGCAGGTAGAGTGGAGAGAGAGGTAATTGAAGAACTTATAAAAACCGCAATATCGCGAGCTTGAGAGGGAGTGTTGGAATGGCAATCTCGCTATGCTAGAATCTTCTAGTAGGGTTGCTAAACTACGTGACGACAACATTATATACATTTCTATATATTTCCATTCCTTCTCTGAGTTCTATAATCATATGATCTCATGTATATATGCTTGTCGCTCCTTTGGTTGCAGACAACAAATCAAATCACTCATTCCAAAGACAATATTCATGAGCACTTCCGTTCTGCCAAATACAACCCCCATCATGCTTTGGGCTGGATTGTTTTATCCCAGGTAGAGAGAATACCATTGTATCCATTATTGGAAGTTGTATAGAACTCCTTATTTAATGTGTCATGTCCAGTTGTTATTGCCTCTACAACACACTTGACAATATAGTTTCAGACTGAGGCATACAGTTTGTCTCTGAACTCTGGCACCAACTCCCTAAACAATTAGGTATTCGACTAAAACAGTCATTCTCGTTCCATCCTAGAATAGATAGATAGATAGAGCGAGTAACAGCAGCGTCGAAGTTTATTTACGAGAATTCATGAATTTCAATCAAGACAGCTGGGCTCAATGGATGCCACTAGTCAGGTTTGCCATAAACAATGTCATTTCAGAAACCACAGAGGTATCGCCATTCTTTGCCAATTACGACTTCAATTCAAAATTGGGTACCAAACCCTCGCAACCATGCCCTCCAAATATCTCTGTAGTGCAGAAAGGAAAATTTTACAGGGGAAAGACGATTGCCGACCGTTTCGGGCGAATCATGACCGAACTCAAAACCCTAACATAAAAGTCTATCGACTGATATGAGCAGTATGGAAATGAGGGTGGAAAAAATGCTTCATGTTTTCATGGAAACCAAAGTGTATTTGCTGATACCCAGTACATGAAAACAAACCGACCCAAGAAAGAGAAAGATGATGATAAGCTTGCCGGACCGTTTAAGGCCTTGAGGCCTATCCACGAGCATGTCTACTGGAATTACCATCGACCATGAAAGACCTCCCAGTCTTCTATATATCTCTCTTTCGCCCACATGCTGAAGCCGAAGGCCTGCCTAGACAACAACTGATTAACGAAACTGAATCGCGCTATTTTTGTAGACGAGTACTTCAACGGGGTCCAAATTCTCGTTCTACAGCCTTTAAATGGGGACACTTATCGGCGTAGTGACTGATACCGTGACAGTTGTCGCACTCATTAGGGGCCAGGGCTGGCTCTGCAGGTCGGAATTCAGGAGATAGGTTAGCTGTAGCCGGTGTCGATGTGATATTCTTGGCGCTGATTAAGGGGCGTGATGGTTGCTGCTGTGAGGCGGTAGGCGGTGCTTGGTAAGACAAGAGCCCTAGGGCCTTGTAACCCTGACCCCCATTGGGTTCATGGATTTTCTGCTGAAACTCACGTGCGAATCCTCTTATAAAGCGAGCAATAGGTACGGCAACCTCGCAGTACTGGTCGAAGAGATATGGTGGATGTGAAGCGTAGGGCTGCATTTGAATTTGCAGAGGTTTGGTCAGCTTTCAGGTGGATATCTTCCTTTCAGCAATCCATTAGGTGGTCCGTTTCATGTGAAAAGCGTTGGAAATCCGCACAGAAGGTGTCAAACTCGGTGAACGTCCCTACAATAAGCTTATTCATCGCTTCTCTAGCTTCAGCACGCTCGGTGGGGCTTTCGTGCAGCCCCTTCAAGTATTCGTAAATCTGGAACATAGTAGCATACATGTTCTGGTGGTATTATGTTTGCAGGTAGAGCGGAGGTTGCTCAGGGCTGTGATGATTCACATGCTCGCATACGTTGGGTGGGTTACCCGTGCTCGCATAGCATCTGCCCCAGGCTCTTCTTTTTTAGTCCTTTCCTTCTCGCATAGTTAGCCATCTGGGTAATAAATAGAATGTTTTATCTACTCCCGAGTAACACCGTGGCAATACAGGCCATGTTGTTGATGAGGGTGTGATCATCCCCCCTTTGCGTTTTCCATCACATGTAGTTGCCATCAGCCCTCGGGGGGTACTCACAGAGAGCTGTCTCCACGCAAGGAGTCTGCGAGTCCATCAAAGGTCCTCTTTACGCGTGTGCAAATAACATAAAGGGAGCACCTTGGAGTCATCCATCGCAGCCATTAGATGCCACGCCCTATAGCCTCTTTCGGCCCCAGCGAGCTGCTTCGCGTTACCCATAACTCTCTTGGTGATGATGGGTCAACCGTGTCTTGCAGAGGAGAGTCTTAAGATATTTCGACGCCCCGCAACTACCTACTCAGTCCTCTACTAACCAAACTTGTATCCCTCCCTCTTGTTAAGTCTTCTTTTGAGGTCCCTCTGACCACAACTATCCCAGCCTCAGTATAGAATTGTGAGTGTTGCGAGCAACACGCCATTTAAAACCTTTCTTTTGATCGCGTGTACATTTACAATGTTATACTAGTCGTCTCGTTAGATAGTAATAAATAAAGTTAAAAAAAAAAAAGAGAGAGGCTAAGCATCTAAGGATGCGGTATTTTAGCTATGGTCTTTGCTGCGCGGGAAGAAGAGGAAGGAGTTTCTTGGACTAATAGGATCGGCATATTATTTATTGGGAGGTAAGTGCGGAGTTTTTGTGATTAGATGAATGAGGAGGGATTGGAGTGATGGGGAGTTATTAGTGAAAAGTATGTGGTTTACCTTTACTTCTGTTTATTACATGTCTCTAATTTTTGCTCTCCCACTTACCACCTCAACACATCTGTACCTCCAGAATACTCCTTCGCACACCCCCTTCTTCCAACCCCTCAAACTCCGCCTCATAAGCCACAGCCCCACGCTTACTACACTCAATTCTAAATTCATCGACGCTTCCTCCCACCCCAAAATACACCCTCTTAGCCGCCACCAATGCCTTTCCACTCTTAACCCTCTTCAACAGCGCCACCATGGCTTCTGTAAAGGAGACGAGTGAGGAAGGGGAGTAGATTGTTTCGGAGGCTAGGATGAAAGTGTTCATATCTGGGGTACTCGGCACCAACTCTAGCAATTTGTCTACTGGGAGCCACGACCCTGAAACCAATGTTAATGAAATAGGTACTTCGGACAGCTTCTGTTTGAATGCCTTGATTAAGTCCGGGGTGATTTCCAAATCCCCATGCAACCCCTCTTGTCCGTCGTCCCCAGCCGCTGCCTTCTCCTCAAGATCTGCTAAGGGATTCGGGCTCTCCTCAGTAAAGGGCGCTGAGGTGGCGGGGAGCGTGGCAGCGAAGGTTAAGAGCAGGTTCGGAAGTGTAACGAGCCGCAACACCGAGGCATTATAGTCCGTGAGTGTAATGTTAAGGGGAATGGAGGAGGTGAGAGCGTGCTGGAAGACGAGGAGGGTTGGGAGGGAGGTGCCGCAGCCCATCTGTGCTTCTTATTAGTATAGGGGAAAGAGGAGGTTTGGAAACACCTATTGGGAGTGTTGGTATGGTTACGGTCAGGGGGGGGGGGAAGAGAGACGAAAATGAGAAAAACAAACCTCAATGACATGTCCAACCCTCCACAAATCATCCAAATCCTTCCTCGGTCCTCTATCCATCAAAAACTTCACTAAATCCACCGAACACTCCCAACTCTTGAACCCGCCCTCATAGATATTGGTTTTGATGTCCGAATCATCTAATGCCGCAATCCTCTCTTGTCCAGCATGTTGATTCGTAGTGTCGTCGTCGTCTTCCGCCATCATCTGCATCCGCACATCAAACAACTCCCTCCGCGGAAGGTATGACTTAAACCCCCTTGGCGACGTCATTCCTATAATACTGTAGGAGATTTTATCCGGGAGGGTGGAGAGCTGGTATCTCGTTAGAATGAATTAAAGAAAGGCGTATTAGAAGAAGAGAAGAGGAGACGGGTTTCATTTGAAGGAGAGGATTAAGTTGGAAAGACATGTTGTGAAAGTTGAGGAGACGGCATGAAAACAAGAAGGGAATTATAATGCAGGATTTGAGGGAAAGGCAGAAATAAAGACAACAGATGAAATAGTCGGAACAGCGAATATAACACAGCATACCCACCAACTCTCCTATATCATGTGAC